ATTATTAGAAACGTCCCGTGACAAACAAAGTTGGATTAGACGAGCGTGCGTGGCGGTGGAGGAACTTGCAGGGCCTGACATGTAGGATGCTCCAAGAGCGTGGGTTGATCTGGATCAGCCTTCCGGAGAAGCATGAGACCGAGGAACAAATTGTACGTATTTAAGACTTGGGGGGAGTCACGTATCTCGCTGAGTGTCGTTCCAGCAAGACGAGCTCGATCTTTTGGAGCCGCCGGATTATCCATCATGGACACGCGGCCACACGTTGATCGCAGCAAGCGCGGCGTGTCCTGGCATTGTGCTGCACCCGTGTCCGGAGATAAGAGTTGCCAGGCCCAAACCAGACAAGCGGCTGCTTTGGTCGGGAAGAACTGCAGAGAATGTCTGGTCGCCGCGAGGTTTTGTGAGTCATGCCGCTCCTCCAGACGACTCATCAGGTTGATGCGGAATACACCCGATGTTCCACACAAGCCTACTAAGGCCTTACGTCCGTGGTGACGAAGTACTCTTCTCAGGAAGAGATCCGGATACTGTTCACGGTAACGCACCGGATGGCAAACAGATCATTGAGTTGATCGATGATCATTGTTGGAGGCAATGCAAGTTGCAATTCCACTTTATTTGGCCGGATGGGGACCAATCATGGGAGTCTGCCAGTAAGGCAGACCAGCTCACCCAACTGGATGAGTATCTGGAGCTTCAAGGTGTGAAGACTCCAGAGGATCTCCCAAAAAGGGATCCTCAGGGATAATATCATTGTTAGCCCACGTGACTAACAATGGAAGGCCTTTGGCCTTCTATCTCTGCAACCGCGGTGGCAGACCATAAGCAGAAGGAATTCCGCAATTTTTTGGCCAACGCAAAGGCCAAAGAAGAGACCACCTCTCTTCTCTTCTTACCACCACCATCCCCCCTCCCACAAACGGTATATTGCATTCGATCTCGCCTTCTCGCCCTCCAACATGCTCTTCGAGCACATGTCTGGTGTTTCGCCTGCCCCTGCACCGTCTGGTGCAACTGCCTCGGCTGAGGTGGAAGTCTGCGAGGACGTTGTCTCACTTCCCCCACCATCTCTGAGGACTGTCTCACCCATGGCTGTCTCCCTGGCAGCCCCCATCCCTCCTTCGCTGCCTATGGCAGTGATACCAGCTGGCGTGGATTCCACACCAATTATCTCATCACGGACCACCAAGTCCATCCAGGGAGGTGCTCTTGCACCTCCCTCCAGCATCGTCCATATGGACGATAATCCGTCTGGCGCTTCGGCGCCCCCTCCTGCAGTTGTCCCAATGGACGATGCCCCCACCGCCCTGGTTGTTCTCTCAAACAACCTCACACCTAGTGGTGCCATTCCCTCAAACAGCACAGATCTTACTGCCGTTGTTCTGTCGAACAACCCCCCATCCTCGCACACCGGATGGGGTGAACCTTCTGGCACCCCGCTCATTGCCTGGGGTACTTTGTCCGGAAGGGACTCCTCTGCTGGCTGGAGTGACCCCGCCGATCCACCAGAGTCAGCGCTCGTCCCAAGGGACGAGGATGAAGAAGAATTCGTCAATGATGATGAAGATCCTTACCTTGTCCCATACGGGGTACCCCTCCACCCAAAGGAGGATTGCGGCACGTCTTACGGACATGATGCACAAGGCTTCCTGAGGCCCCAAACACCCGAGTATGCCCGGGGATCTACTGATCCCTTCTACCGAGACGCTTGTGCCCACACCTCTGAGCCCTTTGCTCTCCTCGTGGGAAACCCTCACGCCAACTCATGGTTGGCTCTTCGTTCCACTGAGCAGCTCGCTGACAAGCTGCTCCTCAATTGCCTGCATCGATGGACTGCAGAAGAGACTCGTGATTGTCTCGCACTGGACTGCAGAGACCGCTCCGATGAGTTGTTCTGCCTCCATTGCAAACATATCGATCAAGTTGAAGGACTTGAAGATGCTCTTCAAAAGAGCAAAGAAGACCTCATGCATTCCCTCGAGGAAAACGCAAGATTGTCATCCACTCTGGATGACACTAGGCAGCTCTGTTCGACTGCCATGAAGATGGTCTCCGATGCCCAGCAATTGGCATCGTAGGCTAGATCGGACACCAAGCGTTTCCGTCGGGACCACAACAACTGGCGCTCCGAATATGACTACATTCGTGGTTGTCTCCACTCCTCTTTGGATTGCACAGATCCTCCTCGTGCACCCTCTACCATGGGGGCTGCAAGCGCGTCTTCGCGACCGCGGCCGGCGTCCTCCCATGAGATGCCTGATGATCACAACGTCCCTATGGACGACCCCATCATCAAGGAGCCTGCATCGGCTCCTCCCCAACCCTCCGCTGTCACCCTCGGCAAGCGTCCCGCTGTGGACAAACCCACCTCTGCGCCTCGCGCAAAGTACCATCTATATTGACAGTAACGGCAGCTTCTGGTGCTCCCACCCCGAGCAAGTCTTACAGCTCAGTTGCGTTCAGCGCTGCTGGACTGCCTCTCACTCTCGCCCGGACAACTGCCGCAGCAACATCTGGCTCCTCTGGAGCTCGTACTTGTTCTGTGTCGACTCAGCTTGATGCTACCAGTCTTTCTGCCATCGCTGCGTTGCACCGGCGATTCCCCCCTATGGGAGTCTGGGAAGTTGTGGCTGCACAGCATGCAGCTACTCGTGTAGCTCAGATGGGTCATCCCATCCCACGAGCCAATCCAACAAATCCCTGGCAGGGAATCATCACAGCCAAGCAATTGACCACAATCCATAACACAGATCTTCCCCGCTGGCAGGTCTTAATGGAGACTGCTGATGCCCACTGGGCTCACACTCCACGGACAGGTAACCTCTGGTCCCGCTTTGTGAAGATGGTGGAGCAGGAGGGCAAAGAGGTGAATCCTCACCTCAACAAAGGGCCTGGTATTAGGCGCTCTATGGACGGGAGATACTACATCCCCGACCTTAACGTGTGGACTTGGCTCCATGATAACTGTCCGCATGCACATGTTAAAGGCTGGCAAAAAGGCGATGCTGCTGCCTTTTATGAGATTGCGATGAATCTCTTTCGAACTAAGTTCAAATTCAACAAGTTCGTCAACAAGCATCAGCTTGGTCACGCCGGCGTTCCTCATTGGTCTATGACCACTCGCTTCCACAAAGCTGTCTCCCTCAATGTGGATGGTGTACGCGTTTGGAGCCCCATCGGGGTTGCCAAAGAGTTCATCGCCAGTGGTCTCGATGAATCAAAAATCGACGTCCTGGTCGGTTACTTTGGTCGTAGGCGACGGAAGGCAGAACTCGGTCGCGCGTACCGCGACAACATTCTTGACAAGAATGGCATGTGCGCGCTCGGTCTTGTAGACTGACATGGCAAGTCGCTGTGGACGGAAGTCTTCCAGTCCGCAATAGTTCCCCCTCCTGCGGAGGGCCTTCCACTGTTGGGTCTCGAACCCGAAGGCTTGAAATGGTCTGATGACCATACTGTTCCTGCTGCTGGTCCCTCTCATGTGGACGCAGCCATCGAGGATGAAACCCTCCTCGACTATGGTGACAGCAACGGCTATGACCGCACCTGTTAGTACGCATACCCCTTCCTCTTTGACAGGAGGGGGTGTAAGGGTCCGTATACGACCCCATACTTTCCTTTATAGGTAGGATCGCCTCGCAGAGGCGATCATGATCATCCAGAGGACTGACACGTAGCGGGTGGCTGTAGGCCACCCTTCTCTCTATCTCTTGCTACTACACTCATGTATTACTACTAGTTAGTAATACTATTGATCAGTGTATGTACCAAGGGCATAAGGGCACCTTAAGCCCTTTCACTGCTGCTGAACACAAACAGAACAACCACTGCATCCCTTCTGTCCTTTCTCCTCTGACTTCTCATAATGCAACAAGCTACTCTCGCATTACAAGTGTTGACCGTCTCCAAACATCTGCGTATTTAGAAAGGATGCCAGGTTTCTGTCAGGAATGATGATATTCAACAAGTCTGCTTTGCAGACGCTGGATACAAAAGAAGGCTGGGCAGACCATGAAAGGGCTTAAGGTGCCCTTATGCCCTTGATACGTACACTGATCAATAGTATTACTAACTAGTAGTAATACATGAGTGTAGTAGCAAGAGATAGAGAGAAGGGTGGCCTACAGCCACCCGCTACGTGTCAGTCCTCTGGATGATCATGATCGCCTCTGCGAGGCGATCCTACCTATAAAGGAAAGTATGGGGTCGTATACGGACCCTTACAGACCAGGTCTGTCTCCTTCTCCAAACTCAACGGAATTCTCCCACAGCTCATTGTCACAGGTTTTAAGCGATTCCTCACTCTGGGAGCGCCATTTGCTGATCTACGGCTTCTTTGATCTATCTAGAGGATTACTCATGGGTTCGTGAGAGCATCTTTGTCAAGGTAACGCAGACTCCACACCAACGGTCGTGCACCCCAGAAAGGCAACAAGTATCTCAACTAAGAAATCCCTCTGTTCGGAAGCGGCATGCTTCCTCTTCGGACGCCGTCTCTGGTTGCCAAAGGCAACATTCTCGTGTCCATCCTCTTGTTCCTTTCGTTGTCGTACGGAGGACGTAATCTGACTCAAGCTTTGAGTTGAAAATCTGCTGCTCTTATTGGAAATAATGTGTAAATCGGGTGAGTTCAGGTGGATAACTGATAAACGGTTCTGTAGGAGATGAGCCCTTTCCAATCCAATGTCGTCTACACGGTGTATACAGCTCGGCATGACGCTTATATTGCCCGCTAGTTTCATGATGGCAATCCCTCTCTTCTGGCTTTCACCTCGTTGTCTGCGCAGTCGACTCCACTGGTACAAATGGACTGCTAACCATCCATTCTCTCTCCCACCTGTTTGAAACTGGCAGCCCACCGATGCACGCCCTAACGCACCGTTCTGCCCGTGCCCCCTCTCCCAACCCACGGCCGCTCTCACCACGGCCGTACCTCACCTCCCGCCCAAAGCCACCCAGCACCCTCGCCCGCCTACGAAATGCAACTCTCCACAACCGGCTTCTTCGTCCGCTACTCTTCCTCCTAGTTCTTTTGCTCCTCCTGTTCTGGCCTCGCTGGGGCGACAGGGATGAACTGGATGATGGGATGAGCGTGGGCAAATGGATCCCTCTCCATGTACCGGACGCCATCGTCCACCCCCACTTTCCGGGCATGGGCATAGAGCGCAAGGCCTCTGTTGTCGATCTCTCCGATGACGAACTCGATGGCTCATTGGACGGCGAGGGTGAGGATCCTACCTTCCCTGAAGACGAAGTTGACGACCCGATCCCCGCGAACCCGCTTGCGCTGCTGGAAGAAGACAAGCAGGCAGCATACGACCTCTACGGGGAGGACACGGTCAATGAAGTTCTCGAAGAGCTGTACAATCCCAAGCCTGTCGTCTCTTCCGGTATGAAAGGTCTGTTCGGGTTTGGAGGACGCGTGAACACCCATTTGGAAGAACATATATATCTCCAGAATGGCCTGCTGCTCGTCAATCCTAGGGGAAGACATCCGATATATGACTTGATCGAGAAAGCGGAAGTGGCTTGGGAGGCCAAGGTTGAGAAGCAGAGTAAGACGCTGGGGCAGGCGGTGGCGGAGTACCGGGTGAGGTGGGGGAAGTACCCGCCAAAAGGGTTCGACAAGTGGTGCGTTATCTTCTTGTAGGCACAAGCGGGTACGAGGTGGGAACGCTGATATTGGTTGTTTAGGTGGGCGTATGTCCAAAAACATAAAATCCCCCTCCCCGACGAATACGACCAGATAATGCGCGACCTTTCCCCGTACTTCGCCTACTCCGCCGCGGACCTACGTACGCTGCAGCAGGAGATGAAGGAGAAGAATGGGACGTACACTATTGCTTCTATACCTGCGAGGGATGGGGAACCTGGAAGGCTGGAGCTGGTTGACCAAAAGATTGGCGAATCGGCGATTGGGAGTAAGAGAACTCACCTGCAGCTGGAGCTTATGCGAGGGTACGAGGAGCTGATGCCTTCGACTGGGGAGAAGGATACGGCTGCAGAGGAGGAGCAACGTGACCCGCAGCTGGAGAAGGTGATGGAGCAAGCGAGAAGGGAAGTGGAGCAAGCACTGGTCGGCGCGTCTGGAGCGTGGGAGGCGACGTTCAGCGTAAACGATGGGCCGCAGGATCACTGGAACTGGGAGTTTGGCGAGCTGATGCGGGTGACTATTGATGCAGGGAAAGGTGTGTATATGCGCATTGCTTGACTGACTCTGGAGCTGATGCGTGACAGTATTGGATTTGGAGACAAAACCGAATATGGAGCGCCTAGGCTGGGCTGCGGGATGTCCGTATAACGCTCCCCTGCGCATCTCCCCCCTCACTTCTCCCCCGCCGGGACTACCAAATGCCGTCTCCTCGCCCAAACATTTCATCCACAACCACAGGCTATCGATGTCCCCTTGTCTGCACCCCTCTCACACGCACCATGTCGGGACGCTTTCCTCTCATGCTAATGGCAAGGGGCCTGGCGTGCAAGAAAGGCGGATGTTCGGGTTCTCCCTATGTAAGACGGAGCTGCACGGGGATATTGGTATCGTCCCCGCTGAGCGGTGGGAGGAAGCACGGGACGACCCCACTCCGTGGGAAGAGAAAGACCCGCGCCTGGTCTGGCGAGGCAGCACCACGGGGATCAGTATGCGCCCCGGCATGCCCTGGCGCGAATCACAGCGTATCCGTCTGCTCTCCCTCCTTTCGGGGATGAACGGTTCGCACCCAGTCCTCCCGCCCTTCTCGCCTACCCACCCGGTGGGGGAGCCGATGCTCCTGGACGCGGCGTGGCTGAACCCCGTCCTCGCGGATGTGGGGTTCGTCAAGGCACCTATACAGTGTGGAGACGGAGTGTGCGAGGAGCTGGGGAGGATGTTTGAATGGAGGAGTCGGATGCAGCCTGAGGAGCTGTGGAGGTACAAGTTCTTGCTTGATGTGCGTCGTCTTCTCCCTCCTTGGTTGGCTGCGTTAATCGGGCCTACCTGCAGGTAGACGGTAACGGCTGGTCAGCGCGCTTCCATCATCTGCTCTTAGCTAACTCCGTCGTGCTCAAATCTACTATCTTCTCCGAATGGTACACAGACCGCATCCAGCCCTGGGTGCACTACGTTCCCCTCTCTGTCGATCTCTCGGACTTGTACGACATCCTCACTTTCTTCCGGGGGGACGTGAGCCGGGGTGGGAAGGGAGGCCATGATGAGCTTGCTCAGAAGATTGCGAGGCAGGGAAGGGAGTGGAGCAGGGCGTTTTGGAGGAAGGAGGACATGGTCGCTTATACAGTGAGTGCGCACTTCCTTAGTGGTAGGAACGGACGCTGATGATTGTAGTTTCGTTTGTTCTTGGAGTACGGAAGGCTGATGAGCGACGATAGGAAGAGTATGGAGTTCAGGCCTTAGGCGCAACCAGCAGAGGGAGTGACTTAGATCCCAGCTGGGAGAACAGCATAGGTGGCCGATATAGATGAGAAAAGCGTCCCCAAGAACACGCCGATGTACCCATTAGATGTCTAGATATGCATGCGTCATCTTCCATGTCCTTGTCCTCCTCCGCAACTAACATCATTTGCTCATCGATGGACGCAGCGACGTTAGCCCTTTTCGGACTGTCTTCAAACACCAACTCCTCATTATCACCTTGCGCGGAGCTCTTTCATCTTCGCCAAAGATCTCGTGGTGCCTCAGAGCCGATACCCAGCTTTGGGAGCAGCCAGACCAGTGTGAGACGCAATCCGGGGTGAGGGAGACCACTGGCATGTTTGCGCCCCATGTAATAAGAGAGAAATGTATCACCGGAGTATGCACGATGTCCATACTCTTATCCTGCTGGATGTCCAGGAACTCCCACGACGGCACGCACGTTCCCCGTCATGTCTGCTCAGACCCGCCGACGTTGATACTAGCAGCACAATGCATGGTTGGATTGTCGTGATGCTCGTCCCAAAGCGCCGGCGCAATAGACACATGGAAAGGCCAGGGTTAAGTATTACACAAAGAGTGCTTAGTCCATGCCTTCAAGATCCTTCTCTAGATAAAGTAGGAATCCAAGAATTACACCGAGCACAAGTAGAAACGTGACGTGAGAAACACGTGATCTCTGTAAGCGCTTTAAAGCTTCGATGACTGGCTTCACATGTGCTATACAGTTTCAGTGCATGCTTCGAGCTTACCTATAACCACCTCGACAGATGGGGCCATCCTCCGAACATCGACCAATGTACTGAACGCGCACTGACTGAACCTCCAAGATATGCCAAACGCGGGTGTATCAATATCACTGGACAACGGATCTCAGTCAGAAGATCTTCTTTCGCCTACTTGATTCAATCGTACTCATGCACCGTCGCTTCGTTCTCGTTCTTGTTCAATCTTGATCCTCTCAGGCTCCTTCCATAAAATATCAGTCCAACCTCGTCCGCAGCGCGCTTCTCCCAAATCTGGAACCTGCCAAAATACCAGTCCATAGCAAATCGGACAAACAGCGCTCAACGCTGTCCATACCCTCCGAGTTCCTTGTCCAGCTCCGCCCCGGGCTCTTCGACCATCCCTCCGCTGGGGCCGGGCGCGCTAGGGTGGGGGAACGTATACCCGCTCGTACCCTCGTTTTCATTTACCGGGCTGGCAAGGATATCGTCCCTGATCGGGATAGGAAGCGAGTCCTGTTTCCTAGCCTGCAATTGCTGCCTAGCCTGGGAACGCACCAGGGCGCGGAAGGAGTTCACTTCCTCTATAATGAGCTGCTTCATCCCTGGCATGTCGTCTACTTTTTCAAAGGCAAAGTCGAATGTCTGGCTGCAGAGCGGCTCGTCCGCCGTATCGTGCCATACGGCGAGGTACGGGTGCTCAAGCGCTTTCTCGCAGGAAATACGCTTGGCAGGGTCGAAGCAGAGCATCTGGCTTAAGAGGTCGATAGCCAGAGGGTTCGCGTGCGGGTAGAGGGATTGGAAGGGGATACGGGGTTTGATAGGCAGGGAACGGATGTAGTCCTGCGCCCTAGGGGAGTCAACGCGGCGCAGCGTGTCCTCGGATGGCGTGCCAAGGTAGTGCAGGATTTGGTTCAACTGGTCGACGCACCTGTCATCGTGTCAGTCGGCTTGTGGTACATTGGGCTCGGCACACTCACTCCCTGCCCTTGAAGATCGGCTTCCCGCCCAAAAGCTCGGCAAGGATACATCCCACATTCCAGATATCGATTGGCGGCCCATGGTTAGCAAAGCTCAACATGATCTCCGGCGCACGATATCCCCTCGTCGCGACGTACTCAGTCATGAACCCCTCCTGGCCCCTATTGTTCTGCTGCTGTATGCCCAGTCCGGGCTGCCAACCCCTCGCACGTCCAAAATCGCCGATCTTCAGCTCGCAGTCGGCGTTTACGAGAAGGTTGCCAGGTTTGAGATCGCGGTGGAGCCCTTTGGCGCTGTGGATGTATTTGAGCCCACAGAGGGTTTGGTAGATAAAGGACTGGAAGTGGGCATCGGAGAGCGGCTGACCAGATCGGATCTGTAAAGAATGCGATTAGTGGGAAGGGGAGAGGAAAGCTAAGAAGATCGCGCACGATCGCATGCAGATCTGCCTCCATCAGCTCCTCGTACAGGTAGACCTCGTTGTAGTCGCCATTGGGCTCATAGACGATATCCATATCATACAAGCAAGTGATCTGCGCTCATCAGTATTTCGCCTCCATCATAGCACACAAACGCACGTTCTTGTGCCCCCTAAAGTGGTGGAGCAGCCTGATCTCCCGCAGACAGCGCTTGGTTAGGATACGCTTTGTGTTGATATTGGTAATCTTCTTGATTGCGCACCCTTCGCCTGAACGACGATGGCGTGCAGCGACGACACATCCATAGGCACCCTGGCCGAGTTCCTTGACAAAGTCGTACTCTGAGTCGACGATGAAGGTCTGGTTGAGTGCGTTGAAGATGTGCCGATGAGACATTGATGTTGAGGGTGTGCGTGTCTAGTGGTAATACCGAGGCAGTCAAAAGTATTTGCGCCGGCCCCTGTCGTGCAAATTGCTGGAACGTCGACTATTGTCATGTCGCTGGTTTCGTTCAGCAAAATATGTAAATAGAGATTAATCTTCCCACAGTCCATTGACTCCAACTTGTGCAAGTTGACAAAGGCAAAGGCAATGTTTAATATGTGCCCAGCAATATTGAAATCGGGGGAGCTTGGGGCCCAAGGAAGACAGTGAATCTTGTTTTCATCGAGCCAGTTGGATCCATAGTAGGATTCGTGTTTTGAATCACCATCATGCCAATTATCTTGCCGGAATGATACACACACCTTATTCTTGGAGTACGGAAGGCTGATGAGGGACGATAGGAAGAGTATGGAGTTCAGGCCATAGGCGCAACCAACACAAGAGGAAGCAGAAAGAGTGACTTAGATCCTTGCTGGGAGAACAGCATATGTGGCCGAGAAAGATGAGAACAGCGTTCCCAAGAACACGCCGATGTACCCATTAGATGTCTAGACATGCATGCAATTTTTTCCGTATCAAGTTGCGCAACGCAATCAGGGATGGCCGTCCACTTGATTAGGCGTATTTAATTCGCCAGTTGAGATCGGCGTCACCCTGCCTGTTCTCCGCCTGAGATCTACTAGCCAGGTCGCAGACAAAGTGCCCCTCTATTGAGGAGCGGACAAGGCCAGAAAATATGTGTTCGCATAGGCTAGAAGATAAGGTCAGGAGCGTGTGCCATAGGAGATATTAGACGGCGCGAGTCATCCTACCCTTGGACGCATGTTCCTAGCCGACGGTGATGGCGGCGGGGAAATCGTATCATCGTACGCCCAACATGCGCTCGAAGTGCATCCCGTGTACAGTCAGATGTTAAAGTTCAAATTGACATTGTGACCGTTGTCTGCAAGGGGACAGGTGGTGTGAGATGGTTGGCAAGTGAAAGTTGAAGTTAAAGAGTAAGCTTCTCAGGCACACAACAAAGGCGCTTGTTTTGCAGAAGCTGTACGGAAATGAAATGAAACAAACAAGATGCGGACGGAAGCAGAGCGGGATCAGATGACTGACTCTGTTACAATCACCTCATGTCGTGCGCGTGCCGTTGACCGCCGATTGCCCTCACTTTTACCTCGTTGTCCTCGAGCATCTCTGGTGTCGTCTGCCTGGAGTGTACACTGCTGCTGCTTTGCACTTTGGATCTAGCACATTCTTCTCTGCTTTGCTAGCATTGGACTTACCCACTAGGAGCTCTCTTATCTCTGGACTACTCACTCTCTTTGCTCTTCTGCACTGTCGACTCTCGGTACATCATAACAGCTAACGCCGACATTCACCTACCGCACTCGTCAATCACGCACATCACTCGCTGATACGCTCGATCACCCAACATACTACATGGCAGCAAGGGGGCTCAACCCTCCCCCTTCGCCTAGCGCAACAGCTTACAGTGCTGCATCCGGTCTCTCTGCGTATCAGTCACAGTATCGCCCACCCTACTCACAGCAGCAACAGCCACCGATGCCTAGCATGCAGGGACAGATGGCGATGGGAGGCATGGGCATGCAGCCTATGCAATCGATGAACGGGATGCAGATGGGGATGCAGGGGATGCAGCAGGGTATGGGTGGGATGCCGATGGGGATGCAGCCTATGCAGGGGATGCAATCGATGCAGTCTATGGGCATGCAACAACCTGCGGGCGGGATGCAAGGCCCTATGTCACCCACCTCTCCTACCTCCGGACAGAATAGTCAGGCAAACTACGAGAAGTTTCAAGGATTTCATGAGCAGTTACGCAAGTTCCTTGCGAGTGAAGATGTTAAAGGTGCGGACTGTCCCTGTTCTACCATCTGAGGGAAAACAGCTGACTCGACTGTTATTGTTCCTGAAATCCAGAGGTTCCAGGAGCGCGCGCGGACCCGAGGAGCAAGCTGGTAAAGCTGAACGAAGCGCAGTTTATGGAACTCTCGACAGATGTGCACGACGAGTGTCTCCGTCGCAACTCGCCGAATCCCAGTACGTTCTTCCTTTTGCCTTTTCGTGCTTCTCCAACTCGCTTCCATTTTTCTTCGCTACCCCACTATTACCCCACATCGAAGACTGGAGCTGACCCGTTTATAGCGCCCTTCCTTCCCCTCCGTTCGGAACTGCACCCTAAGCGCAACCAGGCTAGGCAGAAACTTGCGACTCTCAGCAAGACCAAGTTCAGAGACTTGGCGAGTGACATATACTTCGAGCTGGGAAGGAGGTTCCCCGCTTTCAAGGGTCAGGTGAGTCTTCGTGCTGCGCACTCCGTGCCCTTGCACCAGGGCTTCGGTCATGGATGTTTGATGATGTATGCTAATCCGTACAGTAGGATCGGCCCGAAACCCCAACCTCGACATACGAAGACTCCCTGGCCTCGCAATCTCAGGCCTACGCTGCCACCACCCACACCACCGGGAGCTCCAGCACCACCACCGCGGCTTCGCTCTCCATCCCACCTTCCCAATCAGACAGTGCTTCTGGTTCCACTCGCGGCACCACCCCGACTTCGTACAGCAAGCTTGACGACCCATACAGCCAACAGCGCGGGCCGGGCTATCCTCTGGAAGATAATCAGCCGAGAATGCGTCGCCGGCCTAGCGAAACAGGGGAGGCTCTGCCCCGCCAGAGCGGGGAAAGCACACGGACCACCGGTGCTGACCCCAGCGTCTGGCGCAGACCTAGCGACAGGAGCGCTATCTCGGCCGTATCGGCTGCCGATCGAAGGCGACCTAGCGTCGAGCAGTTTGCGTTCCGCTCAAACCAGACGAATGCGCCTGGCTACCAGGGATCGCAGCAACCTGGTGGGACTAACGGCACAGGTAGTCAACTGCCGTACGAGTCTGCCTCTTTCGCCCCGCCTCCAACGAGCACCGCTACTCTTGGCGTCGTAAACCCTATGAAGAGCACAATGGCAGAAGAAGAGATTGAAGTGCCCTATGGGAGGGACGACGCCGAGGACCGCCCTGGTTCATCAGCAAGCGCGAGCGATGAGCGAGACCCATATCGAGGAGAAAGGCTGTTGGTAGACGAAGAAGAGGAAGAGGAAGGTAACCGCAGTCCTATACTCACCGGACCTAGTACGGCGACGTTGAGAGAGGGAGGGCTGAGTGCTCTTGCTGGAGGATTCGGTGTGCGGGAATATGAGAACGCGCCGGATAAGGTTGCGCGTGCTGGTGCTCGCGGGGAGAGCGATCGGGTACGTGTAGAGCTCCCGGATGATGCTGGAGACGACGGTGATGGGGATGGGGACGAGGCCAGCACGGCCAGTAGGGGAGTGAGCGAGTTTTATGATAAGATGAGCTTTGGACGGGTGAGTGTGGCGAGTAGCGGGGGTGTAGGACACAGGAAGACCGGAGAGAGAGAGGTGAGTCTACTTCCCTTGCTGAGGTGTTACCGTACTGACCCAGTTGAAAGGGTGTCGAAGTAGAAAAACTTCGCAGGGAATACGAGCTCAAGATTGCCACGATGAATAACCGGATTCAGAGCCTAGAGGCCGAGCTTTCCGAGGTCACGCGCAGCAGGGACGGGAGTGTTCAACAACTGCAGGCAGTAAGAGAAGAGACTGTCAAAGTTCGGGATGTGCGTGATCTGACCTTGCGTCTGAGCTGATGTGCTGACTGGGGTCGTTTGTATTGTAGTTGGCGAACGACCAAGCCTCGCAAGTCGCTCAGCTCAAACAGGATCTTGAGGATGTCCGGGCGGCGAGAGACCGAGAGGCGGAAGATGCTGCTGCACGAGCGCAACAGGCTGAGGCGGAGCTCGAGCTTGTAAGGGAGAGCTTCGAGCAGTTCAAGTTTGATCACACGAACAAGCAGACAGAGGTGCGTTGATCGAAGGTTCTTACCTAAGCTGTTGGCTTACGGTGTGACCTGTAGGCGGGTCCGCTGGCGGACGCCCTACGCTCTGAAGTCCAGCAGCTGGTCACCGAGCTGACCGAGTTGTCGGAACGGAACGAGGAGATGATGCACGAAAAGGACAGCGACGCATCCATCATCCGTGACTTGAACGCTCAGATCAAGGAGTGGAAGCGGAAGTACGAGAATGCCAAGACGGAGCTACGACATATGAAAGCTACGTCTACGCTCTCGGGACCTCAGACACCGAAGGTCAGCGCTGCTGGCGGTGACGGCGATATGAACCATCTTCCTACGAGCGACACTGGCGCGATTGCAGACGTACACGTCACCGCCTTCCAGAGCTCGATCGACACTTTGCTCGCTGCAGGCCGCTCGTCTCAACCCACGAGCGTGCTAAGCGCGATGAAGAACGTCGTGACGGCTGTAGCCGCTATCACGGAGGATGTGCGTGCATTCGAGGCACGTCCGCGCAGGGACAAGGGCCCCGTGGATGATGACGCTGTCCGCGCGCTCAAGGACCGTGCCAGTGCGACACTCAATAATCTCGTCATGGCTTCCAAGAATCACGGGACGAGCTACGGTCTCTCACCCGTCAGCTTACTTGATGCCGCTGCAAGTCATGTCTCGAGTACGATCGTAGAAATGGTGCGGTTGCTTAAGATTCGCCGAGGGACGCGAAACTTCCTTGAACGCGCCGGGTCAAACAAATCGATCATGTCACCCCTTAAGGACGCACCGGAGCAGCGTTTTGGGCGCTCGTCCAGCGCTGCCAGCGCCGGGAGAGATGGAGGTTCCGGCGCAGAGAGGAACTCAGGCCCATCGCCAATTCGTACAAATTCGAAGCGTAGGTCGGACTCGCACAATGGGCTACCCACCCCGGACAGGTCTACTCCAACGAACTCCTCACTCCAATACTTACCTCTTGACTCGACGCAGCACAGGCCGCCGATTCCAACGATGAGAGATGAGGAGGCTGTACCCACAGAAGGCTCTGACGATGCTTGGGCGGAGCTCAAGGTCAGTTGTCATTAGTCTGCCCCTTGATACCAGCTAACCTACGACTTGTAGCCTTATCTGGAAGCACAATCTGAGTCAATTGTGCACCACATTCAGACCGTCCTCAGCGGGATTCGGTCTGGCGCCAAAGCCTCCGAACTCAACGAAGGTCTGACGCAGATAATCACGATCGTCTCCTCCATCGTGGCAGTGTGCAAAGACTCTTTACCTACAGCTTCGGCGCGGCAAGGTCAGGAACTACTGAGGGAGTTGAGTGAGCACTGCAATACACTCAGCGAAGCCCAGGTGATTGGTGGTGAGGTAAACAAACAAATGCGGCAAGCAATGGCAACTGCAAGCTTTGGAGTAGCCAAAGCGCTTAAAGAACTCATGAAATTGTAGTCCGCTGGTTTCGGGCAGGATAAACATACCCAAGTCTCTCCTTGCAGTTCTTGGTACACATTTTTAACTTCTTTTAATGGGTATTGTGAAGGCTTACACGTCGTTCGTTCCCGTACTTATAATGCCTTGCAACGTTTCATTCATGATTTATACCCACACTTCCCTTTGCATGGTTGTTGTTTTTGTGGTCTGGTCTACTGCCCGTGATCTGGTATCTGTCGCAATTGTACTAGCAAAAGGAACGCAACCATACGTTTCTGAATATCGAGGGAGGAAAGGACCAATACCAGGATGAGGAAGATACGAGGCAGGCGCGTCACAAGACCAATTTGGGTATGAACTGCATTATTCATTACATCAACGACACTCGATGCCCGACTCCGCCTGCATCAGGCGGAAGAGGCAAATCACCAGATCGATCTGACATGAAGTGTCTGTAGCTGTCATACGTATTTAATACCGTGAACGTCCCTTTAGGTGAACGGCCTTACATGCGCGAGAGGCGGTGTGTCTCCTCAGAAGACAGCGATGGGCGAGTATTCGCCAGAGATGAGAGAAGATGTTCTTCCCCAATCTAAGACATCATAGATTCAGACAAACCCCAAGAGGTAACAGTTTCAACACACCTCATGTAGCGTCGAGTCCCTCGAAGCAAGTGCCGAAGACGTCGCAGCTCCCTTCTTGTTCCGAGCAATCAGATCCACCTGCAGATTCGGTCAGAAGTTGGGTGAACCATGCGACTGAGACAATGACCCGAGCATCCAGTGCTGCGGCTATAGCTTTGGACATTACTGGGCCCTTGGAATGAACATTCAGAGCGACAAATTCTGTTGCGCGAGGAGCGTCACTTCCTGTGTGGCCAGCCATGCCCGTAGGTGCCGTTTTCAGGGACGCATGAACTGCCTCCAAATGAGCATTGTATATTAATGCCTGGAGGTCAGCTCCGGTAAATCCTTCTGTGTGTCGAGCCAGCATCTTCAAGTCTAGCTCTGTCGCATAGTGTACCTTTCGACCAAGTGCCCGCAAGATCTAGACAAGGTCGCATTAGTAAGGTAGAGCAGGGCAAAACCATGGGCGCACGTCTTCTCGCTCGTCCTGTGTCGGTATGCCGCACATCAGAGACTTGTCCAACCGCCCTGGCCGTAGAAGCGCAGGATCAATAAGATCGGGTCGACTGATCAACGCATCAGTTTTGGCATAAGGCGGCGATCATCCATCGACTGCGAACCTTGTTGCGGCTAAGACATATACGCCATCAAGACCCTCAGTTCCATCCATTAGAGTGAGGAGCTGGTTCACTACTCTATCAGTGACGCCCGTGCTGTCGTGCCCTCTGTCACGCATGGTCAGCATGCGTCTTGCGCCTAGGATGTGTCGTACCGTTTTGGAGCAATCGAGTCAAACTCATCAAAGAACAACACGCACGGCTTGGCAGCTGTTGCTCGGTTGAACAAATCTCGCACCTGGTTTATGGTCAGCATATTGACATGCAACCAGAACGTGCACCTACCGACTGTTCACTAGCTCCAATGTATTTATTCAACAGTTCTGGGCCTTTCACACTGATGAAATTCAACCCACACTCTTTCGCCACAGCAGACGCCAGCAAGGTTTTTCCACAGCCAGGATACCCGTAAAGCAGGAGTCTAGACCGGGGTTAATTATAATCCGAATGATCAGTATGCGATTACATACCCAGAGCGCAGGCGAAGAGGGCACTTTGCGAAAATTGCTGCATACTTCGTTGGCCATTCTAACGTTTCTCGTAGTATTCGTTTTGTTTCTTGCAAACCGCCAACATCTTTCCACTTAACTTTAGACGTCTGTAACTTCACATCTCGCAAGGACAACGGGGTAAAGTCAATTTGAGCTGTGGTGAAGTCTCTGATAATTACTGTCGGCTGAGATCGCATGAGCAGTGCTTTCCTATGTGGAAAGCCGAACATACATGGACATCCTTCAAGCGAATCAGCGATTGGTGAATCGCTCGCCCTACCCAGTCCTGTAGGTCACTAGCCGAGTAGCCTTCTGACTGACTTGCAAGGGCAGCTAAGTTAAGCTGTCCTTCCAATAAAGCATCAGGTCCGATCTTGTGGGCAATGGCGGTGGCAAGAATCTACATACGAGCATGAGAATCATTCATTGTAGAAAGAAGTTCTGTACCTCTTGTCTAGACTTCATATCAGGAGTTGGTATCGTGAAGACTGCGCCGAATAAATGCGATTCGGACAACAGGTTGTGCACCGCATGCGCTCCTTCACATGTTGCCAAGACGGCAACCCCGGCAGGCCGAGACTCCGGTCCCAGAAGAGATACAAACAACTCCGCGATAGTACGAGCGCGTGTGGGGTCCACGTGCTGTATCCCTTCAGTTCAGCTCTAGCCTGCATGACTGGAAAACTTACCTCAACTTCCGCCATCACAGTCTTGTCGATATTATCCAGGACCAGAACGCTAGGTCTTCGCCATGCTGCAATATCAATCGCCTCCTGTAGCGCACCCCGCAGAATAGGGATTCGATCGTCCGAATGTTTTACCATGTCAACGAACTCGGTGTCTAGGGGGTGTTAGGAAACGACATGAGATAGTTATGCGTACATACAAGCAAAGACAGAAGGATCTTCTCGCAAACGACGGGCAATTTCCTTAGCAATGGAGGTACGACCGGATCCAGGGTTCCCTGAGATCAAAACAGCTCCTAACAAACTACGATAAGCACAAATGAATAAGAAACAATGTACAAAGCGCGAACCCGCATTTGCACGATGCCGGAGGCTGCGAGCGAAGAAACCGTAAGATCCTGAGATGATGTTTTGTACGCCGGCTAGCTTTTGCGAAGAGGTCGGTTCACTAGACAGCTGGCCATCAAGACAACAACAGAACGGAGTCATGACATACTGGCTGGATGAATAGGTAGGGGATCCACGTTTGCCATTGGCGGTTGTTTTGCGTGATCCTGACAGTTGTATGCTGAGATATGGTCAAATCACTGCTTGGGAAGGAACTCGCCGTCAGTTCTCACCTGACGATATCCCAGTCCTTCGTCAACACATCGCCTAGGAACACAACATGCTTATCTGGGACCGCCAAATCCGCAACCAAAACCACCTCCGTCTCCTCCATCTTCTTATCTCCATCTCCATTGGCCTGATCCGGCGCGCGAGAGGTGTTCAACACCCTTTTCTGATCGGACAGTTGACTTCGTGCCGATGAAGGAGGTTTCTGACTCGGGGGAGGTTGTAAGATCCGCACTGTGCCGTAGAAGCTCCGGCCACCTGTGCCTTCCCGTTCCGATCCGGGTACACAGGTCAGGTCGTCGAACGTGTTATATGAGATGTATGCGCAAGGACCTCCAGATATAGGCCCATCGGCAATCTCCACCAATGTCCGTGGAAGGACCCTCATGACGTGTTTTGTCCCTGAGACCGGTTTTGGTTGTTCAACAAGTGCTGGTGCTGGGGGAGGGGGAACAGGTTGGGCTCGAGCGCGAGATTTTGGCGCGATAGCAACTTCAGTTTCGTTTGCCAGCAAAGCCACGGTATTCTTGGATGAGATCGACTCTATTGCAAGGTAAAAAAAGCAGGAATGAGGGCTCATACTTGAAGCATACCAATCTTAAACCTGATACGTGTTCTTCCCAACACCCAGACATCTACTTCCTGACCCACAGGCGCGACCCGAACTTGAGACAAGAAATTTGTCTCCACGAATTCAGCATGAAGTTGCTGTGCGCTCTGAGTTAGGAGGTATACGTAATAGCAGTGATATTTTTACCAGGATCTCCCAGTCATCGGCGGTGAGAGGTTCAGCAATAACCGATTTCGCGATCGGCAGATCATGCAATAGCCCAATTTCAACCTGCTATCTGTGAGATGAAACCTTCTCAGAATTTTTTAAGCGCACACACCACCTGGCTTTCTCTCAACTCTAAGCTCGTCGCGAACCCCGCATCGATCTCGACCGTCTCCAGCGGTCCCTCAGCACCTCCTCCTCGAGTGTGCCACTGAGCAAGGGATGAGGAAGAAGCCAGACCTGTCCAGCCAACGTATATTGACTTTCCTAATGTACCGCTGGGTAATACTGGAGTAAGATGAACGGCCAGACTCTGGGGCCGCTATAAAGTGTTAGGCGGGATGCGCTCGAGATGAGCTCGCAATGCTCACTACACGATGCTCAACCAGCGGGCCGTACATGCTAATCGGTAGGTTGATGAGACATGACTTAAAATTAACAAATTTGATGCTAGCACGTCGAGGCATTGTAGCAGTATTGCTAGGAGATACCGTTGTTGGAAGGATCTAAGAGGGCAGATTGGAGTGGACCATAATGGTCACTGTCACTCGACTCAACCATTTGACTAAGCGCCCTGAAGGTGAATACCCGGAAGTAATGCACAGCCGCTACCGGCTATTACGACAGCTTCATTCGGTCAACAAAAGTTTGCGGTATATTTTGTAGCCTGAATTGCTACCTAGGACGTTGATCTGACGTGATTCTCACATGTTCGACTTGTGGCATTTACATCATGATATCGTTCGCTCGGCGCGATCTCTAAGGAATGCGACGTTGTGAAGACCTTTAACTTGGTCGCTCCTATGAAGGTGTTGCGCTCGCACAACAAGGGGTGCTAAGTCTATTTCGGTACTATTCAACCAGAGTTGGATTGCGCAAACCCGAGTCAAACTGTGTTTCCTCCCTTGGGGTGGAGAAGAAGGCTGAGACGGCGATGTGAGGGACTCTCCTGTATCAGTGGGCTTTTCCATCTCAACAAGCGGGAAAGTGTTACCGCACTATCCACCGGAATTCAAGCCTGTGGAAGACGATCGTGTTTGTACCTGGCAAGTCGGACGACGAAATCGCAGAAATGGAGGATTTTGGAGATGAGAGGTTGGTTCCACACAATGTATTATCTGTGGAAGGCCGTTTGCGAGGAATGTATCCTTGTTCCAACAGGTACTGCAACCACACAACATGGATTCAATATCACTTCCGACAGAAAGGTGTCACCCTTTCTAGATAAGCAGGCGTTTGGAGACAGCGAACTCTTGTGATGTGAGAGCAGCTTTTCGAATTACGAGAAGTCAGAAAGGCCTCGGTGTTTATTCTGTTGGTTTTCGCCGGCAGCCACAAAGATTGTGATCGGGTTGTGTGAACGATTGGAAACAGGACCATATGAGAACGCGGATGGCCAACGATGCCAGCTCCCTCTATCCCAATCCAAAGGCGGACTGACAGCATATCTTCGAGGACCGATACCAAACAAGGATAATGCGATATGTTTGCGATCGGTATTCGATCGGAAGCAAGATCTACTTCCTTGTGGGCGGTAACCTTGGGCACAAATCACCTTTCATCACACGTCGTCCACTGTCATCCTCTGCTTCCATGCTTTGACAGAACACTTGGACGGTGTCCGGGAGGTAGTTGGGAGAACAGAGTGCACTGTCAGTTCCAGAGACCATGAAGAAGATGGAAATGTACGTCTTGTTCATTCCCCGTAAGACAGCAAGACTGATGTCGGTGGCAGTAGACGACGCCGAGTACCACGCACCTCCGCCCTCTCTCGACCCCGTCTATCACCGCTAGCTCCTCATGTTCTCTTGCCTCCTATCCTTGCGCCTTTCAGTGATGCCAGCGGAACCCGTTTGTGGACGTGTGTGCGTTAAGGCGATCATGTGGTGTGCGGACGGGATCCCGGGGGGGGAGGGGGGACGTTTGAGAAATGGATTCGTCTGTGCTTAAGCTGATCTGGATCTAAAATATTTGTCCGGTGTGCGCCCTCGGTATTTACTGTGTGGCGTTCTGGCTGATTATGTGTGCGCAGAGGTGGATGGAACGATAGATCCCTGCGATCGAGCCGTCTCCGACATCTTCCAAGATGAACATATTGGCCTCTGACACGCAATGCCAACCTCTGTCTGGATCTGTTGAACTGTCGCAACGTCAACGCTTTTACGGAATTGTCATGCTTGCGTACCGCCTCCGAGATCGAGTGTATTTCAGCGCGAGCTCAACGTCGACGGTATCAAAGAATATTTTCATATCACGGAAAAACGAGGAATCCACGGCCGAGGTCAAGGTGCATAGCATGCTAAGGGTATGGAATACTTCATGCTGTTGTAAGGTGTCGTAAGTTTGGCACATTATTATCTTCATGTGCTTACTCACGCAATAGAATTACATATCATTCCCTCCGGCGTTTACGACTATTCCCCCCCTGGGTAGGAACAGTCGTCAAAATACCCTGCAGAGGCTGCATTGAGCACATGCTTCAATCACAAGAAGTTTACTCACATGGCCAACTGCATGTGCAACAAGGCACAAGCGCTCTCGGTCCTCATCAAGACGGCGTGAAGCCCCTTCTTCAAGTCCGGGCCGCTTCACGTCGTCTGCAAGTCTGGCCCGCTTCCTCGGTCGCTCGTTACGTTGTAGACCACGCCAGGCGTGGAACAACTCCCACATCCGGTTTCTAAGGCCGTCCAGATGTTCCTGGCTCAGCGGTGGCTTACCTTGTGTCGACCAGTCGGTCCGTCGCATCTATGCAACCGATCAGGATGTCATACTTTCACTGCAGAACTGATTCACTTACTTAAATTGCTGTCATTCCCCCGGAACCACTTCACCTCTATCTCTCCGGGGTCGGACAACGTGAACCATACTCCCCTGTCATCCTCCTGACCAAGGACCATAGGTCGACCTCAGCGTCGACATGGTGGAATGGCCAAAGGCGGGCGTTCCGAGGGCAGTGGTAAATTGTTCTGATTTGTTGATCCTGGACAATGCGGTTGAAGCAAATGCCCAGAATGCTCTTGCTGTCTTCTGGTATCTATGCTTGGCTCAACCTGATGAGTCGTCTGGAGGAGCGGCGTGACTCACAAAACCTCGCGGCGACCAGACATTCTCTGCAGTTCTTCCCGACCAAAGCAGCCGCTTGTCTGGTTTGGGCCTGGCAACTCTTATCTCCGGACACGGGTGCAGCACAATGCCAGGACACGCCGCGCTTGCTGCGATCAACGTGTGGCCGCGTGTCCATGATGGATAATCCGGCGGCTCCAAAAGATCGAGCTCGTCTTGCTGGAACGACACTCAGCGAGATACGTGACTCCCCCCAAGTCTTAAATACGTACAATTTGTTCCTCGGTCTCATGCTTCTCCGGAAGGCTGATCCAGATCAACCCACGCTCTTGGAGCATCCTACATGTCAGGCCCTGCAAGTTCCTCCACCGCCACGCACGCTCGTCTAATCCAACTTTGTTTGTCACGGGACGTTTCTAATAATCTACATCAGTGGAAGTGTTCTCAGAACCTGATCCCAGACGTACCACTGAATACCAACCCCGGGGCGCTCTGCGGTTGCACTTGGCACAACTCTTCGGGATACATGGATGATATGGGAAAAGGGAGTGCAGGAAGTCATCTGGCCTTGCGTCCCAGTGATCCACAATCTGAGCGATTCTAGATTTGATGCTCTTGTCCCATAGCCTTCGA